GGTCCAAGTGGTGGCTCCCGGGTGAGTGAGTCGGGGTTAGGGCGAGCGTCTCGGGTTGGGAGAGGGGCCAGGGCCGGAGCCAGGCACTAGGGGCTGCGCTTGGGGAGAACTTTGCAGGGTAAGACTCTACTGCACCGCAGCCACGATTTGTGGTTTTTCTTTAGAACTCGGTTGTGTCCCCTCTTCTGCAGTAGGTGCCTGTCCCTAAGACGCCTTGTTTGTAAGTTAGGAAAACTGGGGGCGACAGTGAGTATGGAACGAATCAGCGTGCTCCACGCTTGTCATCGCGCTATAAACTCCTGGGGGTGTGCACTTCAGATTCTCATAAACTTTGCGGAACGCGGTTGTAAAACCTGGTGCGGTCCTGCATCATAGTTCAGGAAGGAGGTGCAGCTGGGCGCAGGTGGTAGCACACCCTCCTAGGATTGGCTCGGCTGCGGGTCCTTAGTTTTGACCTTCTTAAGGGATGGTTTCCTCTGTTGAGGTGTGTGAACCTGTCAGTGCGCAGTTCGTGTGGTCTTGAGATCAGGTTGAAGCGGACACAGGTGTGTGTGCGCACATGACTCTTGATGGTTTTCATTGTCAAGAACAAAGGGGGCAGGTGAAATTTCCTGCCTCCTGCTGGAGTGGCTAGTGCACAGCTTCCCTATGGGGGCCACAGTGTACCCGCCCCCCACCCCCAGTCAGCTTTTTGTCCACTCCTGCCTTCCTCAGGTGGTGCTGCTCACTCTGGTCTCCTCCCCTCCCCCTGGGGCTGCACTTGACCCTCAGCTGCTGGGCTGTGCCCCCTCCGGAAGCTAATGATGAGGACAGGATGGGATAAGGCCATCCTTTATCCCATCCCCGGGAGTCTCCGCCTGCATCCACTCTCCTCGCTCCTTCAGCTCAGGTGCCTATGCCTGCCCCCTGAAAGCAGGGGCGGGAATGGATGTTGCCTCAGGATGGCAACCTCCACTGAAGCCAGCTGCCTGGCTTCCTTTAGAGCAGCGGTTCTCAACCTGTGGGTCGTGACCCTTTGGCGGTCGAACGACCCTTTCACAGGGGTAGCCTAAATACATCCTGCATATCAGATATTTACATTACCATTGATAACAGTAGCAACATTACAGTTATGAAGTAGCAACGAAAATAATTTTATGGTTGGGGTTCACCACAACATGAGAAACTGTATTAAAGGGTCGCGGCACTAGGAAGGTTGAGAACCACTGCTTTAGAGGGAGGGGCTCACTGTTGTCTGTCTGACACAATGTTGTCTGCTGTCATCACTGCTTTGAAGTCATCTCACCTGACCTCTTGGGGCCCAATGAGCCGGTAAACCCACCAGCCTGTGCCTGATGGAGGCTAAGCTCAGCACCAGTGAAGAGCCGTTCTCCGTGATGTTCTGCCCTCTGTGCAGCTATGGGTGTGGGGGCACGTGGCCGGGGCTTTCACACAGAAGGCTGAGGCAGGGGTTGTCCAGGTGGAGTGCGTCCTGTGCCAAGGGGACCTATAGCCATGCTTGGGGGCACATCATTGGGTCACAGGCTGTGGAGTGGTATGGTGAGGTCCCAGGGATCTGCAGGGTGACAGGAAAGTGGCTTTTGTGTGGGCTTCCCTTGGTCATAAGGGGACAAGTTAGAAGCTGGCTAGGGGGCAGGGCTGTCTAGGTGTAGGGGGAAGATGGGAGGGGACCTGAGGCTGCCGGTATGAGTCCTTTGGGAGCGGTCTGGGCCCTTCTCTCTCCTCCTGTGGTGTTCTGCTGGAGGGTCTTTCTGAAAGGACACCGACACTATCGATGAATCCAGTGGCCTGGGCCCGTGTGTTTGTGACCAGCAAGTACAGCGCATGTGTTTTGGGTGCAGTTTGGTGAGTCTTGACAGATGTGCCTTGGAAACAACCACTCAGTCAAGATAAGGACATCTCCCTCGTCCAGACTTGTATTTTAACCTCATCTGGTTCCTCTTGGGGGCATTTAACATTGACACTCTCTTTCTCTGAGACGGTACCTCCCTGATGTCTGTCACGGGCCTGGCTGTGCAGTCTGTGACACTGATTTCTTTTTAATTGTCATTCTTTTTCCCGCCCATCCTTAATCACTGGGGCTCCCCAAAGGCCCATCATTGCCTGTTTCCTTGTTGGTGGTGACACCCTGGCCCCGTCCACTTCCTGGCTTGCATTCCCCTGTGCCCTCTGCCAATGGCCCCTGTCCCTCGCTTGCTGGTTCCCAGGAGAACCTCCTGTTGTTTGTATCTCCCTCGTTTCTTTCCTTCCATGTTCCCTGGGTCCTGGCGGGCTTCAGGAGGCAGGTTTGCTCTGGGGCGTGGGGCACTCTCGGTGTGTTCTGCTCTCTGGGCCGGCTCCTTTGGCAGGAGCACCTGCTCTGGTGCCATGGGGCTTGTCTACCTGCCTACTCTGTGCCCAGTGCCCTTCAGCTGGACCCTCTGGTCTCAAAGCCACCGCTCTATGCTCTTCTTGCTCTGACCTCGGGAGCCTCAAGCCAGGGCCTCTCCCTGCTTCCTCATCATCTGTTAAGACCTTCCTTCCACCTTAGTTAGAGTTAATCCTCTAGCAGCGATTTTCAACTGGTGTGTCCCAACAATTTTTAAAACATGCAATACCTGACTGTTTAGTCAGAGGCACTGACCTCTTTTCCCTTAGATTGTCAAACAAAAAAATGATAACAACCAACGATAGCCATCGGGTATTTTTTTGGTGTGCCGCAGAATTTTAGTAATTAGCTTCTGTGTGCCACGAGATGAAAAAAGTTGAAAACCACTGGTCTATAGTTAGTGGTCCCACTCTGGGTTCCCATCCAATCTTAGTGATCCTGGGCAAGATAGTCTTCTTAATAAATATACAGATAAATTAGACTTTATCAAAACTAAGAACTCTGTCTTCAAAAAACAGTTAAGAAAACGAAAGGGCAGGCTACAGACTGGAAACCTATACCTTGTTAAGCATTTCGACCTGTTTATTGGTTGAACTAGAGACATACCAAGTATGTCTTCAGGTTAATGTTATTAGGGGCAATTGATGAAATCCTGGTACATTTTTTTGGGAATTCCTGAAAAAAATATCCTCCAAGTCATAAGTTCTAGTTTAAAAGTAAGTAAAGTGAATAAATGCAGACTTCAGTGCCCTTGCTCACTGGTGGGATGTGGCCCACGTGTTCTCACGGGATAGCAGGACCGCAGAACCTGCAGTGAACGTAAGCAGCATCAGCACTTCTAAACCTTGTAGACGGGCGAACGAACCCGTTTGCTCAGTTTCTCACAAAACCTGCCACCATGTTCCCAGGGGCAAACAGCAGGTTTTTACCAGGTTCCAGGGCCCCACAAGCTTCCTTCAAAAGACCCATTAGCCAGGGATCAAAATGCACCTTTGACTTTTGGAAAGGCCTCAAGTCCCTTTGCTAACTCTGCCACATGTTCTCCGGTGAGGGAGGGCCCCAGTGGGGATGGAGCCTGAATCAGCACTGAAGGGGGTCTGGGAAAGTGGGTGGGACCCCGTTGACAAGAGAGGGTGTGTCCTTATTGCAGCAGCTGGGCAAGTGTCCTCAGGGCTGACCCGGAGGGACTGGGAGAGGTGGGTGGGATTGGAGAAGAGGGTGCTGGTGCTCCTGTGAGGGTCACTGAGCCTGGATAACTGGAAGAAGGGGTGCTGAGGGTGGGGTTTGGGTATGGGTGGGGTGCTGAGGAGCCACACAGGGGAGGTGGCAGCGGGGCGGGGGCGAGGTGGCAGCGCTCCAGCTCTGGAAAGCAGAGGCAGAAGACCATTGGTGAGAGATGAGGAATGCAGGGTGCCCAGAGGGGGTGGACAGGAAGCTGGGGACAGGTGCGAAAGGCTTCTGGGAAGGTCGGGTGAGAAGCTGTGGGGGGTCCAGTGCAGGGGCTGGTCTGTTCCTCTTATTGTTTGTTTAAGACAGGAAACGGGAGCAGATTTTTGGCTAGAGGTTTAGATGGCGTTAATGGCAGGGGAGAGCATGCTCCAGGGAGAGGAATAAGGGGATGGGGACAAATCAGCGCTGGGGTTAGAGCAGGGGTGGGCAAACTTTTTGACTCGAGGGCCGCAATGGGTTCTTAAACTGGACCGGAGGGCCGGAACAAAAGCATGGATGGAGTGTTTGTGTGAACTAATATAAATTCAAAGTAAACATCATTACATAAAAGGGT